TTAATATGATCCATATCGTGGTATTGCCAAGCAACTGTGCTTCCTTGCACAGGCGTATGAAAGGGGAACTAAGGAATTAGAAGTTGGCCTGAGTTTAGAAGCCAGACCCATTCATTTCTGATCCCATTCCAGGAGCTCAAATACAAAAATTGGAGAGGATTTGGATCTTATTCTTCCATCCTGGTCTTTCTGGCTTAGGTAATAGCTCAACAGAGAGAATCTCTTTAGAGAAGCAGAGGTAGTATGCTTTCTGCCGAATCTTTTTCCTCCATTCTCTCATGTAAGATCAGCACAAGGAACAGACTGAGTAAAGGACTATCAAAATAGCAAAGGATAGGTTGGGAGGGATGTGGAATTCATGGGACAACGGCTTTGAAACTGCATACTATTTTGACGCTTGTTACTGTACATTGCTCTGAACTGTCATTGATCTGGTGACAGAAAGCACTGAAGGGGAGGGGGAAGATCTGAGGCATTAGCAATGTTGACTATCTTCTTAAAAAAAGGATCAGGTACCACATTTCCCCCATAAATGAGTGACAAAGAAACTACCATCGTGCTATTTGCATTTGTGACCTCTAGCTGTAAGCGAGTAAATCACCTTCCTTGATTTCCAGGGTTGGGCAAGAACAGTGGAAGAGTCTGTTAGGCTGGATAGCAAGTTAAACTGGAGGCCATGTATAAATGTCCTGCCCTTATGGTATGCTGTGCTGTAATGCTTTGTATTTCTGTCCCTCCTAGGCCTTTCACGAGGTAAGTGGTAACTTACTTTGTAGCAGGGAAAGAGCAAAAGATTTTGCCTTAGGGATCTAGGTAAGGTTGGTTTTTCCCAGCAGGGAAGGGTATTACCAGGCTTCGCAGTCACCTACCTTCATTTGCTCAACAAAGAAATATTCCTCATCATGGTCTGTGGTTGGGTGCAAGATATCTGGCTACAGGTTGTGTCAGGTTGGGCTATTGCTTATACTGCATATTTTAAAGGTATCGAGGCCCCTCAGGATGCTTTTGAGTTGGAATCAGCAAAGCTTCTTATCTGGAGAGAGATACAACCTGATCTCCCCAGCTTGTTGAGCTATGGGAATAGGGGACTTTTCTTCTGTGCATATTTTCCTATTGTATGGTATGTGCAGGACTATAAAGATAAGATGAATGAAGCTGGCAGGCTCTATTATTTGCAATTATTTTCAGGATCAGACATTACGACTTTGGATGCAATAGAAGCAGAAGCTCAGCATCCAAGTTCTGCAAATGTTTTTATATTTGCAGCTGAGCAGCTTTGCTAGCGAAAAAATAAATCAACAAAATTAAAAGCTCATTTCATAAGCAAATGCAACATGGCTGGAGAATGTTTTACCAAATAAAAAAAAAATAGAGCAATACAGATGAAGAATACTGTATGTTCCCAGGGAAGGAAAATGAATGACTGGGGAATATCTTACCTGGCAATGCCCAAGTACCATCACTACAGAATAGGGGGGTGATGTGTCCCCTGGCTCCCCTTTAGTAAGTTCCTTGTTACAGACCCTCCCTTCTTGCATCTCTTCACTTCTGTTAGGGATTGTCAGGGAAGATTGCCTCTTCTCTTTGCACCAATGAATAGTATTTACTGTTTCTAGCATGGCAGGGGCCTAATGTGTTGGGCACCATGTGTGTTGGGACTATTTCAACTGGTTAGGATCAGCATTTGCTCCTCATCGTAGTCCTACTTTCCATTTCCCTTAAATATTTTAGAGGGAAAACAGGGAAGGAATCTTGGAGACCAGCATTTTTTAAGATTGGAGAAGACAGTACTGAGGATAGAGCAAGATAAGAAGGGATCTGGCACCGTCACCATTTCTCTTCTACCAAGACAATTAGCTGATCCCGTGTCCTGGTTTGTGGGCCACTTACTGACAGATGCCAAGAGACACTCACCAGCCATCCCAACCACATCACACTGAGGTAAGGAAGTCCGGTGACTGCTAAGGAGGAAAAACAAAAAAACCCCAAACCCCATACTAAAGTCCTTTACCAGAACCTGGGTTTTTTTCCCTGATTGAAGAAGGAAAAAAAAAATCTGTGCTTTGAACATAGTAAAGCAGAATCATTTCATTGAGCAGGTCCCTACATAACCATCATCTTGATCATTGTGATTGAAAGAGAGGCCACAGATTACCACATATCCCACTCATAATAAGAGACCGCCCCTGCCCAACAGATGTTCTGTTCTAGCTAGGCAAGATAAGCAAGGAAAAATGAAGCTTAATATCCCCACTTTACAGATGAGAGGCCCAATCCCCTGAGACACTAGATAACCTGGGGTCATCCAAGATGTCAGGCTTTGACCTGACAGACGTTTAATGGGAATTCAGTGCCTGTCCTCTGTGCCTTTGAAAATCCCCGGCTAAATTCCCAGAGACAGAGGAAGGTATAGGGGTACCTGGGGTAGAAGAAGGGGGTAAATCAAGTAAGCCTGGCAGACATACAAAGTTAATCAAGGTATGCCAGTATCTGATGGTAAACTGCTCACGTCCATAATTGATTGCAAGCCCTTCCCTGAACATTTGGCTGTCATTGCTGCTACTCAAGGCACTGGAGTGTGCATACTCATGAACGGGAAAAAAACACCCAGTGCTTGTTAATGCTCCTTGCATGAGAGTTATTTGGGAGAACAGGGAATTGTATAGATCTGTCACTCAGAGAACAGCTAGAATTTAATTTAAGCTTTACTTCAACTATTTCCTTTCAATGGATTTTCTTCTTCATTTAACTTCTGTTGTATCATGTATGTCTATATATTTCATATATTTGTGCTACTGAGCCAAATAATAATGATGCAACCTGCAGAGGACTGCAATGGGCTTTGGCGCTCTTGCAGCACTTGCACCTCTTACAGATAAAATGGTATAACTGAGCGACTCTAGGGGCTCCTCTAAGGCCACTGCTACATTACAGATATTACACAATGAATTGGCTAATTGTGCAATACATTTAGACCAGCTGCATGTGCACAGTAATCAGTACACAATAAAAATGACTACCCAGCTATAAAAACAGACAAGCAGCTATAGACTTAGTGCTTGAAAATGTGTAACAACTCTACAGCTGGTTTCTATCCGGCCTTAATTTGAATGTGAAGCAGGGCCCTAAAGGACTTGGCCAGAGTCAGTCCCTGGATTCTTGTGGCAGAAGCCAGGCTACAGGCTTTCAGTAGGAGAATATCCCTTCGGACTGACACACAACCGAAGACCAACCTCAACATCCATTTTGCCTGAGGATGCAAAAGTCTCCAGCATAAGCAGGGTGTAAGGGCAAGGCAGTGCCACGACACTTGAGATGCGTCTCTCCCAGACAACTTTCAGTCAAACGACTTTCCTTGGGGGATAAAACATCTCCCACCCACAGGACTCTCAAGAGTGAGAGGTGACTTCAGCAGTAGCACAAAGTGCTCCCTTTTGCTGCACAGACTTTACAAGTACTGTGTCAGCCCTAAGAGTGTGACAAGTCAGAGGCAAGGACCTGGCCTATCCCAGCTACCACGCCACTGAAACACTACCAGAACACAAACACGATGCACATCCACATCAGCTCATGGGAGACCATCACTCAAGACCGCCCCAAATGGAGGAAGAGTCTGCTGTAGGGCTCTTAGCACTTCAAAACCTCATGGCAACAACAGGAGATGGAAAAGCAGGAGTGGCAGAAATAGCGTGTTGTGGACCAAATTAAAAAATCCAGCACCGCCCCCACCCCCTGCGGAAACACGTGTTCGCGCTGCTGTAGAGTCTGTCGATCCCAGATAGGCTTCATCAGTCACCTTCGGACACGCAGATAAGACAATTATTTTAAAAATCGTCCTCGACTGCGAGGGATTGCCGAAAAAAGAAGACCAAAACGCACAGGTCACATGCATTTTAAGTTTGCCTTCAAGGACTGGGTTACAGAGTTGTGTGCAAGTTTTGCTCTCCAATTTCCTGACCACCTCTCAAAAATAAATAAGGAGCAAGCCCACAAGAAAGGAAAGTGTGTACAGTTATGCGGAGGCAATTTGGAATTGTCTTTCCACTCTTGGATCCTAACCAGCAGCAAAATGCACTCCAGGAGGAGAGCTGAGGAGCGCTTAATTAGAGGAAGAATGTATGACCGTTCTCTCAAAACGGGCATCTGATCTACTCTTGGCACTGTCAGAGTAATGCTGTGGAAAACTGAGCTCCACGCAGCAAATCTCTGCGGCAAACACATTACACTGCCAGGCAACAGAAGTTGCCATAGGCCATCTTCTCTAACAGAAAAAGATCAGGCACGACCAGCAGAAACAGATACAATTGTAGCCACATTAAAGCGTGCAATATCCCTGAGAAAAATGCCTACGTACAAACATTACCTTCATATGCATTCGATCTGCTTCATGCATGGAGTGGTCATAGTTGCTGACTTTAGTGACACATATCAAATTTGACTGCATTTCACTCCTACAGAGTGACACCAACAGAAAACACCAGCACTCACACCAACGCCGTGTTTGCAGTCCCTTTTCCGAAGAGACTTGTGCTCAACACATCTTTTTGCGATGTTTAAAAATAAGAGACAGGCACAGAAATGAGGGCAACTTTCTAATAATTTAGAACGCTAAGAAAACAGAACCCCCCCCCCCGTTAGAGACCAGATGTTCGGGCATTTGTCGAATGGAGTAAAAAATGTTAAAAGCAAGGGCGGAGAGGCAGAATGCATTCTTACAACCTTGGCAATGGAGACAAGCAATTAGTACTGCTGTTGGTCAAATTTCCACGTGTACCACATCCAGGCATAGCAGCCCCTAGTGTGGGCTGACTTTCACCATGTTGAAGTCCAGGTCATTTGACATGCACACTCAAAATGAATGATCTCATGATAATATCATTAGCAGGAAAAATTTGCTTTAATTTCCCTAAAGTCCTAAAAAAAAAAGGCACAAACACTATGAATCAGCTTTAAAAGCAAACAGAAGGTGCCATTGAAAGCCCCAGAGCTAGAATACTCACATCACTTCTAGACGAGCCATTCTGGAATCGTTTCCTCCAAATGAAATGACCTCGCATGTGTAGTCGCCGATGTCTCCTGACCACGTCTGGCTAATGAGGAGGCTTCCGTCTTCCTCTAGTGTAATTCGGGAACTGCTAGATGGATTTATTGCCACACTATCCTTCTTCCACACATGCCTGGATGTCAAAGTTTCAAATTGTTAATAAGTATCAATATAACAAATATAAATACGTTCAGAATGATTTTGACTGCATCGGTGGATAAGGTCATATAGCAATGCAGTGCTAAATTGACAGACCACAACAGTTACCTCAAGATGAGTAAAACTTTTAACTCTTCCAACCCTTGATCTTAGACTAGTGATCAGAAAGAAAATGCCTTTCTGAGGTACGGTGGTGCAACGAATTTCATAGCTAACATCTGCTCTAGCTGCATCTAACAGGGTTTTATCTTAGGCTGGTTCATTTAATTGTCTTTGTTTAATGCTTCTGGTGAGGAACTTGGGAGCCAAAACTCAAGCTTTGTCAAACCGTATCCCTTTGCCTATGAAACGTACTATTTCAGGACTCGGTGTCAAACACGTAAGCGTAAAACTGGGATATTTTAAGCTGAAAACTGAGATATTGTGTTTGGGGGAAGGGGTTGCTTTATAGGTTATTTTGATATTCTGTTAGCTCTCTCTTATTTTGTTTCTCCTGTTTTGCTTATTCACTTCTTTTATAAGTTATTTTTCTCCGCTTTGTAAAATGCCCTGAGCCTTTAGCAGAAAGGGTAGCACAAAATAAAAAAAAATCCAAAAAAATCCAATCTCTTATAGACATAGATGTAAGTAAAACTAAGTGACAGAAATGTTTGTCAAGACTGAATGCAGAAAGGTCCATGGAAAGGCACAGCCATACGAATTATTTTTCAAAGCTGTGGAACAATATTTCAGGATCAACCAACCCTGAAGTTTACATTATTTGTTTTTAGGGGCCTCATCCTTGGACGGGGCCAAAAATCCCCAGAATGTGTCAAGAAAGCCATCCTTTGCCCACCATCAGGCTTACCGATGCCCTGAAAAGCCACCACCTTCTCAGGGTGACAGCTATCTAAATAATTCCTCCTTTTTTCCAGTCTCCAGACTCTACTGCCTACTGTACTAAAAGAAGGGAAGAAATGTAGCTCGAGACCCCTCTGTTGGGTGTAGATTTCACAGACATTAGGGCTGGAAGGGACCTCGGAAGATCATTGAGTCCAGTCCCCCGCCCAAAGGGCAGGAAGTCAGCTGGGGTCACAGGATCCCAGCAAGATAAGCATCCAATTTGCTCTTGAAAGTGTTCAATGTAGGTGCTTGAACCACCTCCGATGGCAGGCTGGTCCAGACCTTGGGGGCTCAGACAGTAAAGAAATTCTTCCTTATGTCCAGCCTGAAACAGTCTCGCAGTAGTTTATGACCGTTCAACCTCGTCATCCCTTGGGGCGCTCTGGTGAACAAATGTTCCCCCAGATCCTGGTGGTCACCCTTGATAAACTTATAGGTGGCCATCAGATCACCCCTGAGCCTGCGCTTTTCCAGGCTAAAAAGCCCCATGGCTCTCAGCCTGTCATCATAAGGCCCGTTTTCCTGACCTCTGATCATGTGCGTGGCTCTTCTCTGAACTCTCTCAAGCTTCTCCACATCCTTTTTGAATTGTGGAACCCAAAACTGGATGCAGTACTCCAGCTGCAGCCTCACCAAGGCCGAGTACAAGGGGAGAATGACATCTTGGGATTTGCTTGAGAAGCATCCATGGATGCAAGCCAGCGTTTTGGTTGCTTTACTAGCCACAGCATCGCACTGCAGACTCATGTTCATCTTGTGGTCAATGATGACCCCAAGTCTCTTTCTTCCATAGTGTTAGCCAGCGTAGCACTGCCAAGCCTATAAGGATGCTGCAGGTTTTTCTTCCTAAGGTAGGACATTGGAGGATCAAGTTTACATGGTACTGATCCTTTCTGAACGGATTACATCAGGAATATCTCCAAACTGATGGCACCCTGGCAGAAAGTATACCTGCACTCAAAATACAAGCGACCAAGTGTTTTTACTTCACAGTTTTGTATAATTTCTCCTTTGTGTGTGTCTATGTTCTGTCTCCAAAGTTCCCTTTTAATATTTTCCAAGCCAATACCCAGACAGATAAGGCAATGCTTTTCTTTCAGTCAAGCCTCCTTTAAACTGTGTACCGTTAATACTATAATGTGGTTTAACGCGATAGGTTTCCTTTAAATCTTGTGCACAGATGTTATTACTTTAGCATCAAGTTGTTCTTTTCTTTTCACAGTCAGAACAGAATTTATCCCTTGGTTACTGAAGTGTTTCAGAGTGTGCAGGCATCCTCTCCCATGGATTTTCAGAAGCCCCAACGTAAACACGTCTGAAATTCTATTCGATCTCTTTGGATTTTTACTCTCATTAAGTATCAGCTTCTGACAAGTCAGTTTTATTGATAGTGTATTAACCTTGACAGTAAAATCATGGAAGGCTGTATTGAAGTCATGAAGTGGAACGTAGCTCATTGTAAATAATACATAAGGCTGAAGTGGAAGATGGGTTTTATGTGATTAATGATGTAGTCTCCAGCCTTACGAGGCAGTAATCAGGGGTCTGATGCTGAAGTCTGGGGTCCTCAAACTTCTCACCTAATGACATTCTGATAGTTTGTAAAATTAAGTTGAGATAAACCGCACAAACGATAAATGACACCACGCGCACCTGATTGAAATTCTGGGGTCATGAGTTGCTTCACACTGCAGAGTGGCTGTGGTTCCCTTGATAACAGTGCTGTCCTCGGGAGGGTGAACAATAAAGGTGCGATCTGAAAAGGAACACAGGCCATCAGGCAGGTAAAATTACAGACTTTCAACTTGACTTGGGCACTCTTGGACAGCAAGAAACCGGTCATTTATCATTCAGGGCAAGGTGCTTTCACTTTGGGAATGGGAGTGAGCAAGTCTGAAGCTCTCTGTATGGCATATGGTGCAGTGCCTACTGATTAAGTAAAAAAGGCAGAAGAGTATTCCTTATCTCCTTCCCAGAGTTGCCCCCACCCAACCCCTCCTCACTGAATCTAATTCAAGTGTGTGATGTAGAGAGGTTTAAGAAGCAGCGAAGGAAACCTTTAAGAGCAGATGTTAGTTATTTGATCTGCAGCAAGGCTTTGAATAAGAAGAATACTAAAGGGGTACTCAATATTATTCATCGCTGTCTTTGCAGCACCTGGTTATAGGTAACCTCAAAGTCATAAAGCACTAAGTATAACTATGGTGCTCTCCCCTAATTAAGAAACTACTTTATTCAGGAATCCAGTCATGCAGTTTGAGGGAAAGGGAAAAAAATACTCCAAAAAGTTTTTGGAAAAAGCACAGGGAGCTATTTTCTCCTTCATCTCATCAAAACCATGCAAGGAGAATGAAAGAAGTGTTGCTTCAGGAGGGTGAGTTTTCCACGTAGGGAGAAGATGTTTACCCACTTGTTGCAAAAATATCTTGATTCAAGTACCTCTTGGGACCCAAAACACAGTAATTGCCTGAAACTATAGCAACCAAATCAAACGTGAAAGATCTCTATTATACTGAGAATGGAGGCAGCGGCATCGGATAGTATCAGCCAAACCAGGTAGCCAAGCAGCGTGAGTGTGGAAGAAGGATGGATAATGGGAATCAGTCCCAAACCCCTACAGAAACCTATAACAACTGAGATAAATCTTACATGCACAAGAAGAAACTGTCAACTGACGGAGATGAGAACATGAAGACATAGAACTATTAGACATAAAACATAATGCTAACTAGACAGCATTATTTCTGCAGTGCCTCCGCATGCCCATTAGCTCTAGCATGTTCTCCTTGCTCCGCGAGCACCGTACGGATGGTAGTACTAAAAAAATTGCAAGAGGGCAAAATGAATCAAAGGATTTATAGTGGAGGCCCTCCGTGCTCCATTCACGCATCCGGATACCAACCAGCTTACGACACACTAACAATATGTATACGGTGCGTGTCAGAAAGATATAAACACGAGACCCATATGACAACTGTAGCTTACATTTACTGCCAGTATATTCCACGAGCATCCTCAAGATCGTACGGTAGAAGGTGTCTGGTGTAACTTTACTCTTTGAGAGATGAATAGATGTCAAATGTATACCATGCACCAGCAGGATAATCAGTTCCTAGGCTCCACTTCAAAGGCAGGAGAGGAAAGAGGGCCATATACTTTTTGTAAAAGTATTTTTATTCTCAGCTCAGTAATATTTTTGTTCTCCTGTTAACTGTGGCAACATATTAACCCTTCCCTCCTTAGCATCTAGTTTGAAGTACCCACATTGGACTTGATCTCATCTCCTCTGCACAGTATCAAGTCACTCAAGTGAAGTCAACGTGCCAGATTTTCCTGATAAAGGATTAAGTGCAAACACACTGCGTAGTGAAACACAAGCCTGTTCCAGGGCCAGGTCCATCTGAGTCAAAAGAGCAAGCAGGTGAAGGATGATGTATTGTGCACTGGCTGGAGGGTCACTGTACCAGCAAGGGACCCCCAAGGTGCCAAGGAGCACTTTAACCTGGCCCTTTTTTCAGTGGCCATGTCCTGTGGCAGTAGCTGGATCTGGCAGCTGCAGAGCTGCTCAACGCTATCTAAGCATTAGGACCAGGGATGTTACACCAGCATAAAAGCCGGGTAAGTGAAGTCACAATCAGACTTGCTCTAATTTATTATTTCATTTCAGTTTCTCTCAGAAAAGCAGCCTGGACGCTTCTGTCCAAATATAGAAAATGTATATGCATCCCTTTGCAAAAAAAGAATAATCTTGATAGATTCCTTTAAATAGATGCATTATTCCTATTCAATTATACCCTTTTTTTCCTATTAGCTAGAAATGCATAATTGATTACGAAAATTTCCTGAGCACACACCAAAAAAACTGATTAATATTTGATTAAAGCTAAATTTAAAACAAAGCCTTATCCTTACTCCAGACAGTCAGTGTTGCAAAAGCACTCAGCGATCCCTCCGAGTTGACTGCATAGCAAGTATAGTTGCCAGCATCCTGAAGGAAGACAGGAGTAATCTGCAGCCCGCCAGATTCGAGGAGAATGAACCTGGGAATCTGCACCGAGCCACTGGCTAAGATCTGGTTCCCTGAAACACAGGAGGAGGAGGAGGAGGAAACAGCAGGACTCTTGTTATTTGCACCGCACAAATAAAACGATAACGTTCTGATTCTTCCAAAAGACAATTACAGATGAAGGAACAAAGCCCCGCACACAATACACATGCATATCCACAGCCATCTCTTCTTTCACCGAGCCAGGGAAATCAAGATATGTAAGCTGAATGGATCCCCAGAAACTCATTGCTGGAGCAGACAATAGAGCAGAAATTCCTGCAATTTCACAGTAGAATAATAAGTAGTTACCTCTTTTCCACGAGATGGCAGGTTTTGGAGCCCCTGAAACCTCACAGGTTAATACTGCCGTCATCCCTTCCGTAACAGTGGTATCTATTGGTGGCCGGATAAATGTTGGTTTAATATCTGGAATAAAAACATTTAAAAATTCAATGGACCAGCTATCAGAAAGATCCCTTAACTACTATCCTAGAGTGTTTTACATCCACTTTTATAGAGCTGATTGTGGGGAAGGACATGACAATAATAAATGAAAACCTTTCAGCAGTGACTGTAACCTTTCATTATTCATCTCCTAGGAATTATCTCACTCAGTTTATTACCTAAATGGAAAATAAAATCTATCAGTGCTTGTACAAGTACAAGCAAGGCAGCTTATAGATAAAGGAGCAAAGGTGTAAAACGAGCATGTTGGGGGAAGCAGAGACATCTAGATAAACAAAACTATTTGCTTTCATCTTCATAACACAGAGTTCTTTAAGATGAAAAGCAACTTGAGAAAGACATTAACTTTCAAGCCTAAATGTCAACCAAAAGATTTTAGAACCCGATTCCCATCCAAGACGTCTTCCAAGTTTCTTTCTTTCTTATGTTCCCCCAGTTGCATTTTATTATGTTTTTTACTGCAGCTAGGACAGATATTGAACTGGTGCAGATCTGTTTTCTGAAGCCCAGTAACAATACTGGTCCAACCTGTAAACTGCCCTTGAGCTAAAATCAGCGCAATGAAGATGTAACAACACGGCCGACTGCACCTGGAGTCAGTCAGCGAGTCAAGCAAAGCATTAGGGACACCCTTGGTAGTAACAACTTTAAAAGAATTACTATTGGCAACCCTGGATTTTTTCCCCGTGGAACAAAACATTATTCTCCAATTACAACATTTAACCCAGGGATTTTTTTTTAATGTGGAAAAGAATATTTATTTAACTTGGAAAATTTTTGGGGTGTGCTGGGCCTTTTCCTAGGAAAATCCACCTAAAATATCACCCTTCATAATTAAAAAAAAAAAAGTCGTGTGAATTTACAAGAGCATTATAATAGTAAAACTACACTGTACAAGTAAAAGGAAGACAGGGAGAATTATTTCTTGGTTAACCTTTTCCTTTTTGCCCTCAGCTTGTCCTTTTTTTAATGTAGCAATAAATGACTGATCAAAGGCCTGCTGCTGTTAAGAACAGTCTTCCGTAGTCTTCAGTCGGATTTTGCTTTGCTGGGCTAGCTCATGCTGGCAACAGAAACCCAGGCGTTATCGCTGTAATAAATCAGAATCAACCCATTATATCTACTGAGTGGTAGAGAACCGCTTACAAGTGATTGAGGCCTTTCAGTCGACACGGGAACCCAGTTCTCATGAACTATGCTGTATGTCTTTACTTACTGGTTACATCTAGGTAGGTGTGTGTCTGTATTTCCCCAGCTTCATTGCTAGCAAAACACTGAAAGATCCCAGCGTCATCGGTTCGCACTCCCTGGATCTGCAGACCACCATTGCGGAGTGCTTTGTAACGAGGATTTTGCAACTTGTTGATAGGAATAGAGTCCTTATACCAGACCAGAGTGGGACTAGGAACCCCTGGATATTGAGCAGAAACAGATCTCTATTATTCACTGCACAACTGTGCAAAAGTCTGTACAATAAAAGTACGCAGCAATGTTATACTCGCACAGATGCACGCAGGGTTCAGTTCTCCGTATCCTATTCTCCCCCTCCCATTGCAAATAGCTTTTATAATAAAACACTGTTTGACAACTGGTGGATATAGGTAAATTGTGTTACCAATGGCAGTAATATATCGTAGGATGCACGATGGCAAGGACAGCAAATAACGAGAGGGAAAACGTTGCAATAACATGTTATCAAATCCCTTTCTCCAGCATAATCATATTTCATATCACGGTGGGAATATGACTTACATGAACGTTTCAGATTAAAATACAAAATTATGCAAACTAAGCAACAGCAATTCTTTTAGTGCCGTTTTATCCTGAATACGAGTCTCCTAAACAGCTACAGTGAAGTTGTCAACGTTAAAAGAACAATGGGAAAGCACACATTAGCAAGGAAAAACTGAAACAACCCTGAGAGGTATTTTAATTCAAAATTTAAAAATCTTTTTTTGTGATAACTGGCAGTTTACCTTTAAGAGGCAGTGTGCAAACAGCATGGTGTGTACACTGGGATGCTTGCAAATTGTCATTCATTTTGACTCATTTTCGGATTTGCGCCTTAATACAAACAAAAAAATGCAAATAGAAACCAATTCTACCTTCAATTTATCTCCCTATGCTGCTTATTACTGCTTTTCTGCATGGGCATTTTATATCAATACTGCTACAGATTTCCAGTCACGCCTCAGCTCTGCTTTGCAGCAGACGGCTTGCATGAAGTGGCTGTAAGCTCAGCCATTCCAGTCAACGGAGGTTTTTGCCTTCCTTGGGGAGTCCTTCAATGGTGTAGAGCACTCATACAGAGGATCCTAGCCCAGTCTCCATCTGAACCCTACTTTCTTCTTATATTCCAGCAATCCCTTGCTCTTTCTGAACAGCCGCTGAGGGCCACAGGCAGCATAGCCTGAAGTACAGCAATTATAAGGTTGTTCTATTTTATGATGCCGCTGGATGATGGGTGTAATGCTGGGTTTAATGAGCTTGGCCCATCCAACACTTCTACCCCAAGCTCTGCACAATATGTAAGTGTGGCTGGAAAACAGCCCAGAATCTGAACTACTGACTGCTGCTAAAGTCCGTGTCTGCCACCTGTCTTCTTTAGGTATCCCTAACACGCTCATCACTGTAAAAATCACTGTAAAACCAAAGTAGTCACTGACAACCAGGCCCGAGATGACTCGAGGCGGTCTTCTACCACCTCCAGCTCTATAAAGCAAGAGCCAATTGAGGAAGTATGGCTCTTAAAATCTCTAGGTCTCAAATTCCTCAGCAATAAACCAGGAATAATAACTAAATAACTAAGTTACTAACATCTAGGACTGTGCAAAGCTTCGGTCCCTAATTCAATTCAGCAGAGATTTGGCCCGATTTGGTGGCCGTATCTCCGAATCTGAATCGAATCAGGAGACCCTGTAATCTCTCCGAATTGAATCAGAAGCCTCCAAATTGATTTGGAGCGATTCGAAAAGATTTGGAGATTCGCCCGTAGACACAGCTTTAAATGTTTATTCTACATACCTCAAGGTACCAGGTGTGGCTCGTGAATGCTGCGATGGTGGGGCAGATGGGGCGTCCCACTGGACGACGGGCGCTCCTGAGCATGCTTGGCAGCAGACCCGGAAGTGGACCAGAAGTACTTCTGGTCCACTTCTGGGTCTGCTGGGGGCCCCCCGCACTGCCCCGGCTCGGTGACTGGTGCCTGCTGGGTCCGGGGGGGGCACCTGGGGTCCCCCTGCAGTTGATCGTTGAGCCGGAGGGTGTGGGGGGTCCCCCAGCACGTTCCCTGGCAGACCCAGAAGTGGACCAGAAGTACTTCTGGTCCACTTCCAGGTGTGCTGCCAAGCATGCTGGGGAGTGCCCGTAGTCCTGTGGGACGCCCCATCTGCCCCACCATCGCAGCATTCACGAGCCACACCTGGTACCTCAAGGTATGTAGCAAAAACATTTAAAGCTGTGTCTATGGCTGAATCACTGATTCTCCGAATCAGCATCAAATCTTCACATTCGGCTTTGACCGAATCGAATCAGGACAGTGATCCAAATCAATGAATGGAATCACTGTCCCCAAATTGGGCCGAATACAAATCATATACGGCCCGTTTCGCACATCCCTACTAACTTCATAGGGAATCTGTATGGCTCAGTTCATTAATGAATTAAATTCACCCAAATGATGAAGACCTTTGCGTCATACAAGAACTCAGGGTGAAGACTAGGTAGAATCCAAGTAATGCAGAGTGAGCCCATGTGGACGCTGAATTTCACTTTCATGTAAGCAGTGCTTGGACTTTCTCTAATGGATGGTACAATGAAAGGCATAGTCATATTATCATTATTATTTTTTAACTCCTGATGTGATTTATGAATAATAACACATATCCTTTCATGTCTCCTGTTAGTGTATTCATCCTCAGAAGCTACTGTTAACCCCTGGACAGAATATAAAAAAGAAAACCAAAGCATGGTGTAAAAAAAGAAGAACCAATTCACGGGTGACTGATGCGTCCCGAGTCTGGGGGGGGCACCAGATCCCTGACAGGGGGGCCAAACGCAGAACCACCAGCGATAAAACCCACAGTGCACTTCCACCAGCATTTCCAGTTTCGCGGCTGGTGCTTCCAGGGGGTACATGGCCAATCTCAGGGGGTGCACGTGCACCAAGGTGCGTCCCCTATGCGTTGCGAATGAGCTGATTCATCCTAATATTGTTTTTTACAAGCATATTATTTACCAAAATGATCTCTGATGCTTTTGCTCTGTTGGTAAAATAAGCATTTTCAGAATCAAGAAGATAATCATCTCAGAAACAAACCCACCGTACACAGTGCCTGTTGTCTAATGCACAAGAAATGCAGTATGCCACCATGCAATAAACACAATTTGAATTTCATACATCAGCCGATATACAGATTTAGTGTAAATTCCAATGTTCAGAATTCTCAATGCGAGTGTTTTTCATCTCTTGAAAATCCCCCTGGGCAAATACAAATTATCACTGAGTAATGAAGAAACAGATGATGCAAAATAGAACAGATCTGATACAGAGGCGACTGGAAATGATTTCAAGTTTAAATAATAGCAATTCCATTGTCCTATACATTGCGTTTTATTGGCACCCAGGAAATAATGACATTCAGCACTCGGTATTTTCCGCCAAACCTATAAGATTTGATGTCATTCCTCAAAACCTTTTTCTCTAACAATATTAGCAAAAATCCTAAACCTATAATCATTGTGAGATACACTTTTCCATCACCAACTCAGCTGACAAACCGAATATTACCATCTCTATTTTCTTATATTTCAGCTACAGATACCTTCCATACTTCCAAGTTATGAGCCTGAATAATGTGACCTTATCTAAGCATTTTGGAGCCTGTCGGTTGCATGCATTTGGGCTGTAGTGATCTTCCCAGAAAGACTTACCTTTAGAGTTGAAACTAGGAAAAGAAAAAAGGAAAAAAGGAAAGAAAATGCAAGTAGAAAACAAAGCTTCTGTTTCTTCCTCAAGAAAAACTCACAAGAAAGAGGAAACATTTAATAGGGGTTAATAGTCCTACCTTGTCATCTGAGGGGTACAGTGTGGTATACAGATTAATAGTCAGATAACCTTACTTGTGGGCACCTTTAAAGTGATATGCTTTTTGCAAAGCACTCTACCAAGATTGGCAAATTTCCCTAACGGGAAAAAGGAAATGGGAAGCTAGGAAACCTGAGAGTTATTCCTGCCTTTGCTACTTGATGCAGACCTTACGGAAATAATTTAAGCAAGTTGTGGCTCAGTTTTTCCCATCTGAAAAATGAGGATAATAATCTTTAACTATTTCACAACAGTGCTGGGGTCTTTGCTCATCTTTGCCAGAGTCCCAATAACTGTGGAAGTTATTTTGGTTCTTATAGCCCCTACAATCTAATCTCCCAGTAGGTTACTGGGGTGTCCTTCTCGTCTACACTGGTAGAACTGAAGTTCAATTAACTGCATTCCCTACATACCACCCGCTCCAACCTTTCTATAAGCAAATAATAGAACCCATTTAAAAATGCATTGAAAATGCAGGCAGGATCAGTGGTTTCTGGAGATATACAGAGAAACAGGGTTACAGAGCGGTTGGACACACTGAAACTCCATTTATAGGAAACTAAAAAGCTAGTCTGTGCAAGTCCCAATTTTATTTCTAGTTAATCTCTGCTTATACTGTGAAATTAATCTGTCTCTTACACACTCACACTGCACAAAGCCGGAGCAAATGGGCTTTGTGTGGAAAGCTCCACGGGAGCTTGGGAAAAATAAAATCCACCTTCCCATTTGTGGCCAAGGCCTAGGGCAGCTCCGCAGTACCTCTAGCCTTATTATTCTGGGCCTCGAGTTGGAAGAGGACAGCGAGCTGCAGGCAGCCTGTCTTTAAGGATCTGTGGTTGCTAAATCTATGTACTCATGGATCGATGAAGCCCGCAACCACTCCTTCAGTCCTATTCCCTGCTCCATGGTTGATCATATTGAGCTAACATTTGGCATGAGGCCCTTTGCATGCCTGATATGCAGCCGACTAGTGCCCAGGGAGAAGAACAGCACTGGGAAGAGCTTCTGTGCCCTCCCCATTCATCAGTTATTTGAATCCACCTTAAACACGGTCAGTGGACATAAAGGATTTTGCTCCAAGAGGATTCCCATACTTAGGAATACCCCAGGCATCCCCAGGGAGCTGGTTGGCATTTGTTTGGAAGGAGGGGGCAGAAAGCACCCACATAATTTCTCCGGGACATGCTATTTCTTTTAACATAGGAAAAGCAGTTGGGTCTTAGGTAGAAGAAAAGCATTTGGGACAGGGAGAGAGTTCAGAGACTGGAAAATGAGCGATTTGCCTGTCACGCATTTGACAGCGCTCAGGAAAAACATGATTTTAGCCGGTTTCACAAATGGCATGAGTTGGGTTTTTTGTTTTTTTTGAACATAAAACTTCTGATGTGAGAGTCTTGTTGGAGCCACAGAAAATCCCAGTACGTTTCAAATAATATGTATTGAAAGCATTTGACATCCCCCATGCAGCTGAATGGGGAATGGAAACAATAAATACATGCTACGTGAATTTGTGTTGTAATGACAGCTGATGTCAGAAGAGGGGCCGTTCGAAAGAGCAGGTCATGAGTTACAGTTTTCTCACCAAGCTCAGGTTGCATTTTTTTTTTAAACATTGCTGCTTTTCAGTAATAAAGCACCTTCCATCTGTGGGCAATCTGGATATGCCCTTTTACCCTGCTCTATGGATAAGGAGGCACCCAGAGTTTTAACGTCTTGCCAAGGTTGCAAGATAATTCAGTGGCAGAGTCAAACCTAATAGGTTCTTGCAGCTTCCTGCTTTAATCACTAGATGATGATGTCTCCTTTTTTTTTTTTTTAATTAGTGTGCCAAAATAGCATGCGTTTCTATGGAATTATGTCTTTAAAAAAAAAACCAAAACACATTTGAAAAGAAATGATAAACATTGGAAGGTTTTTATGGCGTGAAAACACCGTCCAATTAAAAATGGAATAAAAGAGTGCTCTAGCTCAAGTGTAAGTACGCTTAAATGGTACCACAACTGACATCTCTACTCAAAGTAAAAGCTCCATCATTTTCAGAAACAGAAGTTTAACTACTGGAATTACTGATTGTTTCTCTGCGTCCCAAGTTATGGGTCCCAAAGTCACTGTTTTCTTTCAACTAATTTGCTGGCTCAAGACATGAAACCCTTTCAGCCAACTATATTTGTACAAAGCATCCTTTAAAGCAAGGGTCACGAAGAAAAGCAGCAGGGACTGTTTTGCTCTGCTGACAAGCAGCGTTAACACAGCTGAGATCTGATACCAAAAATCCACTTAAGTCTCCCGTTGTACAAACCCAAGAGCTGCCCAATTATCTAAAGGGAAAGGGGTATAACTTCAGCTCTAGTAAACGGTTGGAGTTTCTTGGAAGTCACCGGTTATGATAATTTATAACAGCCAAGTATCTGCACCAAAACAGCAGAGACTGATATTGTACACTTCATTCAACAGGACATGCATCTATTTTTACCAAGCCGGTATTGCCTTCGTACTCACTCACCCATTGCCTGGCACAGGATGTCCACTGTTTTCTCCACCTCAGCCAAAATCCGACTCTCAGGCTCAGCAGTAAAATAGGGTGGCTCTTTAGAACAGGGCGGAAGGAAAACACAACAACAAAATGTAAAGACGGGTTGATTATATTAAAGGAGTTAATATAGTTTCCTGAGCAATGCCATATTTAATTCAGAGTATTACAAGCCGCCTAGTTTGTCTCTTGTTTGGGGATTTTCTTTCTTGCTTTTTTAGCAAAAGCACTGTGAAAAAACCCACAACACTTATTCGCTATGATCGATAGGAATTTCAACGAGAGCTGAGCTGATTTCAATTTAAATTTAGGATTTCACACTGCAAATTAATACTCGGAGCAGGGGCTACTTTTAATTTTATGGGCCTGAATCGTGGAATGTTTTAATTCTCGGTTTCGAAGGGCCATCCCCAGAGGTTCATAAAGGTTTATATTTACAGCACAGTATTTTATAGGATAGTTTGCTTCAGTATCTAAACTAAATACCACCTCTTGAAGCCATGAAGCACATCAAATAAAGTGCCATTGCACGTCACAGAGCCTGTATCAGAGGATAAGTGCAGCAAATAAAAAAAGAAAAGAAAAAAAGAAACAGCTTTATTCCTTGAAAGCCAACAGATTTAATGTTTTAATTGAACTTATAGTAATAACCAATGAAACCGACAGTTCATCATTAGGACTAAACAAAAGATATTAGAGGTTTTTATTAAACAAAGATTAGACTTCAGGGATTGTAGGGCATACTCTCCTGGTACTATTTAATCTTCACAGGATAAAAAATCAGGAGTACCCTGTCAAGGGCCCACAGGCATTAAGGCTGCAGTGATTATCATGGCAACTAAACACTGTCATACTCAGTCTATTCAGTACCATTATCACTTGAGTACTGTTTTTAGAAGCAGCTTATTTGATTATAGCTACAAGTCTATTGTAGCAGAACGACGCACAAGAAGTCCCTATGCAGACTGCTTCTGAAAAGAACAGAGAAGGGAAAAGGTGATGTGATCTATTTGTAAGAGCAAGACCGTGTATTTTCCTTTTGAAGTGCACCAGCACATTTGAGAAAAAAAGGTATAGCAGGCTACTATAGCCAGCATCACTTTAGCTTGTTCATTTCTCAAACCCATTCACCCAACACATAAAGAAGTGGCACAGATATGTGCATTAGGCCTGTGCGACGTGGCTAGTATTCACTTCAGATTCGGCCACTTTGGGGAACAGTGATTTGATTCGGTGATTTGAATCACTGTTCTGAATCAATTCGACCTACTCTCCGGATCAGCCAGGCCTATCCCCGCCCGCTCTCCTGGCTTGGCAATGGCTTCCCTGCCCGCCCCAGGTCCCGGCACTTGGAAAAGAAATAAAAAAGCTCCGACTCAGCGGGTGTTGCCAGGCGGGGGGCAATCCTCACTGCCCCACACTGCATGGGGGGCTCTTTCATGAGCCCTCAACCCCCCCCACCACCACCACCACAGCCTTCCCTGCCACGGCTCCAGCCCTTTAAGAAAAAAAACCGCGCGCTCACCATTCCTGCCCAGCAGGGGGCAATCCCCACTGTGACAGAGCCCCCCATGCAGTGAGGGGCAGTGAGGGGCAGCACGGATCGCCCCCCCCGACAGGCAGCACCTGGTGAGTGGGGGCTGTTTTTAAAGGGCCGGGAGCTGGGGCAGGTAGGGGCAGCCATTGGGGCGGGGGCTGGGGAAGCAGGCAGGGGATGTGGCCTGGCAGGGG